TTCCCTTTGACTAGCGCTAAGTGAGCATAATCAATGGCTTGACGCTTCCCTCCTAAAGCGGCGTGGGATACCCTCACTTGGTTGCCCCTGGGTAGGGAGGGATCCGGGGTAAGAGACGCGGCAATGATTCCCCCAGAGGAAACTTGCCGTCGCAGGTAGCCTCACCAATTTCCCTCGGATGCTGAGCCACTACCGCGGTTGGCTGCCACCACCTTAAAAAAAAGAAAAGAAAAAAAGAACCACAACAAAAAAAAGAAAACAAGTTGATTGGACTTCGTCGATCAGTTGATACCGTATTTCCGTTCTTGTGTAGCCGAGTTAGTTGAAGAACGTCCTGTTACGTCCTTGTCCCAGTCGTTGTAAGGAAAGAAACTAAAATCGTGCAGCCGTATTAAATCTAAGCGGATGGGTGCAAAGAAATTGCGCGAGTCGCTTCGAACTGCCGTAGTCCCCGTTAGAGCGTTTGCATTCGCTTCCGCCCCTGCCCCGCTGCCCCCGAATTCCCTTTCGGTATGCTGACTGTCTCTTAACAGTGTTCCACCCATGCTTTGAACTAAGAGTTGTAGTCCCTGCCGATCTATGAAGGCATTATTTGAATGAAGGCTGTCGGGCAGCACATATCCTGAAACCGTGGCATTGCATGGAATCGCAGTTACCGAGTGGGGGGTCTGTAAACCTTTCTTTTCCAAACCGAGTAATAAAAATAATAAAAGCACCCGAATGCCATTCCTGCGATGAACTAAAGGTGGGTTGCGGAAGCAGCTTTGGGCACATATTTCCTTCGTTCCGGCCTCTGTAGAGGACCGCAAGGCTTTCACAGGTGTGAGGGTTCTTTCGGGGGCGGGGGAGCGGGCGAGGTGGCGCCGAGCATTTTTCTTGACGCCTGGGGAGAGTGTCTGCGAAACGCCTCAGTTCAGTCACGGTGGTGGGCTGTTGGCCGCTACAGCAGCAGGGGCTCTGGGCATGCCAAGGCGCCTGGAAGCCAGTGAGGTGCGGCTGCAGAGCCCCGCTTTTGCTTCGCGACGTGCTGGAGCGACGGAGCCGTGTGAGGCTGCGGGCTCCGAGGAGAGCTGGGACTAGGATGGCCGCTGTAGGACGTTACGTGCAGCGGTGCATACGTGTGCTATTTAGAAAGGTGTCCGACGTTAAAGGCGTACAGGTTTTACTGCGGCTGCCACCTGCTCAAGTCCGGCAGCCTTTTGCTGTGTTCGTGTGCCCTAACGTAAGCGACGTGGCAGGCAGAACTGTCCGGAGGAATGAGTGAGAATGGCAGCAAAAGGCCAAGGCTCAGCTCCATAAGCCGAGGTGCGTCGCCACACCCCATCTGTTTTCTGCCTCCACCCTTCTGGAAAGGGTTTTCTTCTGGCCTTTCGTAACGTGATTCGCCCGTTGCAACAGGGCACCGCGTACTGCAGCATAGACGACGGCTGCAGAAAGCAAGGCTTGTGTTTCCCGCCCCCCTCTCCCCCGCCCCGGCCCCGGCCCCGAAGCGGCCACACTGCACCGTTATTCCAGCTCGTCTTGCCCACGTTCCTGTTGCTCCTACAAACCTTTCACATCACAGCCTACCATGCCCTTTCTCCACCGTTGCTCGAGTCTTGGAAGGTTCCTAGCAGTTGGCGGGAATCTAATATTAGCCTGCGGCATACGATGGGGCGCACACATCCCTGAATCGCGAAGCTGTGGTCTTGTGTCCCTACGCAATGCTATTGGGCATACTGACAGCCGCGACTGGCGTGTGCAGATCAGGGGGAGCGGAAAGGTGGGCAGGGTTTCCCCGTGGCAGCGCTGGAGCGCTGCAGTGATTGTCGGAGGCTGCAAGTGTCGCTGTTTGCTCACGATGAGCCGGTCGGCAGCCAGGGACCGCGAGAACAGAAGCGAGCCTGAGCGAGAGGAGCCGCCGCCGCACTGCAAGGACAGCGCAGGAAAGAGGCCGGCGGGGAAGGCGGCCGGTTCTGCTGCTGGGAGAGAAGGTTCAGCCAGGAGGAGTACGGCGAGAGCGGTGGCCCGCGGGCCCGTCTTTCGTCCGGCACCGGGCCGGCGGGCCAGTCTTCACGAGCTTTGAGATGTCGGCTGGAGAGAGGCGCTGGGGCCGGCGAGAGCGAGGGCGAGCGCTGCTGTGGTGCGCCTTGGTGGCGGCGTGGGAGCTGGCGTGGGGGCAGCTCCGCTACTCGGTGCCCGAGGAGATGCAGAAGGGCTCTTTCGTGGGCGACGTGGCCAAGGACCTGGGGCTGGAGCCGGCGGCGCTGCGCGCCCGCGGCGCCCGCGTTGTTTCCGAAGGTAAGCGGCAGTATTTCGCTTTGAACTTGGAAAACGGCCATTTAGCTGTCAACGAGCGTGTAGACAGAGAGGACATCTGCTCTGGCGTTGCTAAATGTGTCCTGAATGTGGAGATTCTTGTGAAGAGTCCAGTGAAGCTCTACAGAGGGGAGGTAGAAATCCAGGACATTAACGATAACTCGCCCGTTTTCCCGGCAAGAAACAGCGTCTTAGAAATCATAGAGCATACAGCGCCAGGCACGCGTTTCCCTTTAGAGAAAGCTGAAGACCCCGACATCGGGGTGAACTCACTGCAAAATTACGAGTGTAGCCAGAGCAGCTATTTCACCCTGGAGGTAAGGACCGGAGCTGATGGTGTGAAATATCCGGTACTGATACTAGCGAACCCTTTGGATCGGGAAGAGCAGGCAGTTCATAACTTGCTCCTGACAGCAAGTGATGGCGGGAGTCCGGTGAAATCGGGCTCGACAGCAATCCGCGTCGTCGTGTTAGATGGAAACGACAACGCGCCGGCCTTTACTCAGTCCGTGTATGAGGTGACCGTGAGAGAAGATGTGGCCGTGGGAAGTCGGGTGCTGCGGGTGACAGCGACTGACAGGGACGAGGGGCCAAACGCCCAAGTCAGGTACTCGTTCCATAAAGTCCCGGAGAAAGTGGACAGGACTTTTCAACTGGACCCGGAGAGTGGGGAAATTACCGTCACAGAAAGGCTGGATTTCGAGAGAAGGGCCTTTTATGAGCTGGACGTGCAAGCCCGAGACGGAGGTGGACTCTCGTCCCACAGCAAGGTTCTCATCACCGTCGCTGACGTGAACAACCACGTCCCAGAGATTGTCATTACGTCGGTGTTCAGCCCGGTCGCGGAAGATTCGCCGCTGGGGACAGTCGTTGCTATTGTCAACGTGCAGGACCGGGACTCGGGGGCGAACGGGGAGGTGAGGTGCAGCATCGCCGAAAGCCTGCCGTTCCGCCTGGAGAGGACTTTTGACAATTACTATAGCCTGGTAACCGACGGGGAGCTGGACCGGGAGGAGGTGTCGGAGTACAACGTGACGGTGCGGGCGACGGACGGCGGGTCGCCGGCGCTGTGGAGCAGCGCGGTGCTGCCCCTGC